CTTCATGATATTTGATGAAACCAGTTGGTCATCCTTCATTCTATATTTATTGATTAATAATTTTAAAAAATGTATATTTGTTTAATACAGTAAAATGACACACACAGGTTTGAGTTTTAAGATTTATCATTAATTTTTTTCAGAGCTCTTAGTTTCTCTTTAACATTTTTCAGATTTACGATTTCAATTATTTTATTTAAATTGTGGTGATGTAATAATAGCAAATAGACATAACCATTTTTATAAAACTTGTATATTTTATATCTAAATCTTTGCAGTTTAAAATAATTAAACATAGCTAAGGTTACCAAAAATTATATTTTATGAGATATTAATTTTCTTTTTAATAAAATATTTTTTAAAATAGAATAAATAAGACAAATAATAACNTTTTAAATATAATTAGTTTTGTGTGGATGTATTTGTTGGTTAAGACTTAATGAGATTTATTTTTCTTGGTTTTAGATAATCCATATGTCACATGAGAACTCCATATTACATTTAAGAGTAAAAATATACAGGGTGTTTGATGAGATAGTGACAATATGGTTACAGCATGTTCTAGAAGCCTAGGAGACCCAGAAATGTACTATAAACATAACCCTACAAACACATTATTTTAGTGCTAGAAGGGGTCAAACTGGCTGTCCCTTAAGATGCAGCTCTGCTAAGGTGCTGCAGAAAAGCCTCAATCTTTGTGTTCTTCAGCTTCTGTGCTGTACTAAAGTGCTGTGAAATGCAACCAAACCTTATGTTTTTGCAAAAATGTAAAGTTCTGAAAGTAAGAAACTGAAGGGCAGAAATTAAAAGTTATAATAAAAAGAATTATTTTTTTATAATGATTAAATAGCATTATAAAAAGTAAGCAAGCTCCAAAAATCATTAAAAAGAATAAAAAAATTTTAAAAATTCTCTAGAAAGTGCATTTGTCCTCCTGCCTTCCCCTGGTTGTGCCACTGCTTGAAAGGTTTTTTATGAGAGTTCTAATATCTTGGCACTCGTGCTCCATCCTTATGCAGTCTGAAGTCCCTATCCTTCACTTGTATTGTATTTAACAAGAGTGCAGTGACCAGTCTCTAATGACCCTGATAGTACTGTAATTGCACCATATTATACTTCTAAGATGCTTTTTAAGTTTCACAACACCTTTCTTTTTTCTAGCAAATTCTTTATTGTAACTAACGTTTTCGGCTATTTTAAATGGCCTTCTTCTAGTTAGTTACATTAAAGAAATTGCTAGAAAAAAGAAAGAATGGTGGTGTAAAACTTATTATACAAAGTTCTAGTTTACTGCACATAAGATGTTTTTACTGAATACTTAGTGATCAATAATTATTAATTTAAACAAATACATGAATAGTAAGATCAATGTTTAGGTCAATATGCTTCATACATCAAATTTAGATGAACAATTCACAAATAAAATTTTAAATTATGAAAATTACTAATCCACAAAAATCCAAATAACCAGCAGAAAAAAAAAGTGATAGAACTAATGTTTTGCTTATGTTGAATGTTCATAACAGGCTAAATGACCTTTTTTCTGCTGGTTATTTGGCTTTTGTGACTATTTTTATCAAGTTTACCTAGTTGTGAGTGGTTGTTTTAAAAATACCTGTTAAATTAATTAAATAAAACTTTTTGTGTAAAATTACAGTATGCACCATACTTTTTATGATTATTTTGAAATTAAAATTCTTTTGAAGTTCCTTTTTGTAAAGTTTTTATATTCCTCTTCTTTTATGTCTTCAATTTTAAATAGATTCTCTGATGGCCATGCAGTTGAGATGGCAACTTACTGCTGGGGGAGTCAGGATTGAGTCTGAAGGGGTTNATGATTTTGTTATGTAAATTTAATGTGTTCATTGAACTATTGATAACGCATAAAAGAAAATACAAAAATTTTATTTTGTATAACTTAATTAATGTGTACTATGAGTAATTGTATGAAAACAATACCGTATTTTGAACTGTAAGCTCTTCGTTGTGTGTAATGGAACAAAACTCTGTGTAATGATTGAGTTAATGTTTGTCTTCCTTTACTATTGTGACGTAATTTAAACTTTGTAAAATTATAGGAAAAGCAATTGGTTGGGCATAAACATAATTTTTTCTTTCATGTCGGCTATCACAAAGTTACTTTTATGTCCATATAATTGATTTTCCTATAATTTTACGAAGTTTAAATTACGTTACAATGGTAAAGGAAGACAAAACATTAACTGAATCATTATATAAAGAGTGTTTTGTTCGATTACATACTACTAAGAGCTTACACTAAGTTCAATATACGGTACTGTATTCCTATAATTAGTAAGAGTATAGAAATTAAATTATACAAAATAATGCATAGAAGAAAATACAAAACTTTTATCTAAAGTGCAATGAACCCATTAAATGTACAGTACAGTACATAACAAAGGCATTAAATAAATTATTATTTATGGTTACTGTAAATTTTTATGATAGCGATGTTAAGGCAATTAGCCTATTTTTGAGGAACCCGGAGTCTACTGGTCGAGTCGAAAAACCCTAAGAATTTTTTGGGGGTAGTCCATTGGATATGTCGAGCTGTGTCCTTCATTGCCCAGCCAAAAAAACAATGAGCTTGCTACAACGTCTTAGTGCCCATAGAGCAGAAGTTATTTTTAAAAAACGAAAAGGCCATTTTGAGGAATTTTCGTATTGTTTGCTAAGTGTTAAGAAGTTGTTTTAGAGATGTAATGGATCAGGAATCGAATACAAAAAGATTTGGTTTATTTGTATACGGCAACGCAACACGTGGGCGTTAGAAGTACTTTTCGGGGCCGGATGGCCGATCGGTCAAGGTGGCAGCCTACTGCTCTGGGGGACCCGGAACGAATCCGGATGGGTCAAGGTAACCCCAGGAATTTTTTTGGAGTGATCCGTTCGGATATGTCGGGCCTCGTCCCTCACCACCCGGACGCCCCATTGTAGGCCTGGCAGAATCTTTAATGGGCCTGCTATAAGAGGTCCTCTTAGTGCCCACAGGGCGGAAAGAGTATAAAAAAAAGTACTTCCCGGGATGACTTTTTGAAACTAGTCCTGTGTTACAAGCGTGAAAAAAAACCCCGGAAAAAATTTTGCGCCTTTGTGTCCTTATTTAGATTTTTGTACGTAAATTGTCTTCTAGGACTTATTATACCGGTGACTGGTTCTGCAAATTTAGAAAACAATTCAGAAAAAAAAAACATTATATTATTGTGTTTCGGACCTGTTGGTCCCTCATCAGAATATTCAAGTGATAGTGGGAGAACGATGATGAATATGATTGGATTTAGACTATTTACAGTCTTAAATATTGATGTGTTTATGAATCAAAAATCTAAATTGTTGGTCGTAAACCTGCTGATGAGGGACCAACAGGTCCGAAACACAATGATATTATGTAACGTGTTAAGGTGAAAAATAAAGACTGTTTTTTCTGAATTGTTTTCTTAATTTGCAGATTCATTCACTGGTATAATAAGTCCTAGTAGACAATTGAAGTACAAAAAAACCCCGGGAAACTCCACGTTATCAGCTCGTTTGCTAGGCGCCACGATCATTTTGGTTATGAAAAGTCGAAAGGGTGGCAAAATAAAGGGTTGTTACCATGTCATATCTTAAGTGGGTTCCTGGTTGTTATGAGATTTTATTTTTTAAATAAAACCTCATAACAGCCGGGAAAGTTACACAACTCGTTGCTAGATTAAAAAAAAATTTTTGGGTTCAGGAGGTCTCAATGTGGAGATTTGCAAAAATCTCGAAGGGTCAAATTTGAGCACGATTCCAATATTTTCTTCTGTTTTGCATACATAACAGCCGGAAAACTAAAAAGCTGGATGGAAGGGCTGTTTAGAAGAGAGTCTATCGTTCTGAGGGATTCTATCTCGGAGTAACCACACAAGTTATTCAGCAATGGCTGTACAGAACGTGATACCCGTCACACTCAATGCGGGCCTGGTGAAACCCGTGATTGGCATCCCTCTTAGTACCCGCGGGTTTGACGGCAGGATGTCCGAGTGGTCAAGGTGGCAGCCTACTTCTCTGGGGAACCCGGAATTAAATCCGACGGATCGAAAAATCCCCAGGAATTTTTCGGAGGATAGTCCGTCCGGATATGTCGGGCCCCGTTTCTCACCACCCGGCCTCCCATTGTGGGCCTGGCCGAATCCATAATGGGCTTGCTAAAAGAGGTTCTCAGTGTCCACGGCGAAAAGAGTTAAAAATCAAAATATCTGTACATAAAGCCTTTTTTTTCTGTAATAAAAATCACTGTATATTGCAGAAAAGGGAAATTAAATAAAATGAGATAAATTAAGATAAAGTGAATTAACGTTGCTTAAATGAAAATGAACTTTATTTTTATATAATTTTTTAATACAATATATCATTTCGTAATTGCTATATTATTCATACAAATATTTCCGATATCCATATGAATCGGCAACGTAATTATATCCTTTCCAGAATAAGAATGCATGCGGTATTTATTAGTCTACATACTTGAAATAAAATAGGTTCTGGGTTTATTACGAAATAAAACATGTATAAGACATATTTAAACTGTTATAATCTGGTTGACATTTTAAGTATTTTTGCAAGATATTTGAGTCTATAAAGAAAAAACTCATAACGTGATGTTTGAATTTTCGATTAGATTGATGGAATAAGGCAATACAACATTTGGGCCATCTGCTAATGGAGAGAGTTCTATGAAGACTTTCTATAGGAAACTATTCCCATTTAGGTATTAGAAACGTAAAGAGTAAACAGAAAAACTCCACATGGTCAACCCGTTGGTGAGGCGCGAACCAGCCACCAACTTTCAGTATTTACGGGTCCTTGAATTTTCGAAGTTCTAAAAAATATAGTTAAATTAATAAAATTTATGTAAAAAATGAAAAAAAAAAAACAATTTAAATTAAAATTTACGAGAAGAGAGAAAATGAAAATAATAAAAAAAAATAAGTAAATAAAATTAGAGAGGGCGTTGGCATCGAAATAGTGGGCGAGACGAGTCTGTTATCGAGTGAGGTTAGAATGGCTGCGGAAGAAAGTAGGAAGAGATTAGTTAAATCTAAAAGTGGTCTTCGAATAGTGAATTTGGACGGATCAAACGCCAGCGCTTTTGAATTAACAGAACCTCAATGGACACCCGACAAAGAGGTATAAAGTTTTGTCAATGATCTTAACACGAGTTCTCGATTATATAACAAATAATTAGTTATTGTTTTACTTTAGTGATTATAAAATTATACTATCGATTATAGTTAATTACTAGACAAAAGAGAGCATGTGTCCTTACTCTGTTAACGTTTTGTTGACGATGATTGAAATTACACGTGATTAGTACTGTGCGCTCTATCCCCCTTTGGATATTTAATTTGAATATTTGTCTTGTAACAGGATATTAAACACTTAAAGTTCTAATCTAATTATTTATAAGTAGTGTTTTCTTAATGAAGAGACATCGTATTAAGAAAATTGACATAATTACGTTTTTGTTGTCAGTTTCCACAAAAGCTTCAGAATAAAACTAAAATTACAAACAAAAATCATTGTCCCAAAATCTAAACAAATAACAAAACAATGTGCTGAAAACAATAAGTGTTTTATGGTAAATGCCATTTTTGTTTATTAATCAAACTTATAGCACTTTCAAAAAATAAGTCTCCGTGATGTAAAAAAAGGAGAATTTTTGGCCATGCTGGTGTGTTCGTCAAGTAAATAGTGTTGAAAACAGTCTTTTTTGGCATTATCCGTGTTTAATAATGAAAATAAATGCGTGAGTACTTTCGACGTTTACAAAAATGCCTTTGTTAGGCAAAAAACAAAAGAATGTTAGTATAGAATGAGTTAAAATGTTCTTAAAATTACATACTGACATTCCAAAATGATGTTTTGTTTTTTGTCTAAGAACACATTTTTGCAAATGCCAAAAGTACTTGTGTGAGCTTTTCTTTTTGTTATTAAACACAGGTAATGCTGAAAAGACAGTGTTTTCGGTACTATTTACTTGAAAATAAGTATCGTAGAAAGAAAAGCTTTTTTAATGTTATAAATAGCATTAGATTATGTTATGTATAAATAAATTTTAGATAGCTAGATTATATAACATTTTCTGTTTATTGCAGCAGAGTATAAAATCATATCAAATTATATTTATGAAATCATATATTATTATGATATAAAATCATATTTAAATATGATTTTAAACTCTGTTTGCTGTGATAAATAGAAAATATGATGACAATTAAAAAAAAATTAAGTTGAATACAATTTTCATTTAGATGAATTTAGCTTTATTTTTTTATTTTTTTGCTGTAATCATATTCTTAGAAAATAGGAAGAGCTATAATTTTGCATTTGTTTATTATCAAGGCTGGTTATACAATTTAATGGATGGAAAATGCTTTTGAATCAAAAATAATAATCTTTAGTATGAATAGTAGCAGTTTACAAAAATTGTTTTATTATTTTAAGTAAATATTTTTTTTCTATTTGCTATATTTGATTAGATTTGTCTTTAATTAATTCTTTACTTCATTTGATATACTTAAAATATTTTTATTATTCATTTCTTCATTTCCTTGTCAATATCAATTATGAATTGTGTAATAGAATTTTACATTTAAAAAATTTTGTTTGCAGGACAATAAAAAAAATAGTAATATTAGTTGCTTCTTGTATGTAGATAATTCTTAAACTTGTAAAAATATTACATTATAAATTTGTTGATTTCAATATAAATGATGATTTGCATTTTTAATTTAAAAATATTTGTTTAAGACTATATTAAATGAATGCTTAATTGTCAGATTCTATGAAACTTCTCAGCTTTGAAAAAGTTAATTCAAAATTAATAAGATGACTTAAGATATTAAATTACAGCAACACAATCAACTACATTGTTAAAATGCCATAATAAGTCACAATATTTATGTTACAGTTAGATTAATTAATTAATTTGGTTTGGAAATGTTTTTTATTTGCTAATTTAAAATGATTGTAAGGCTATTTATATTTTTATATTGATATTCAAACTTCTTATTAATTGATGTTTATATTGGCCAGTCAGTTATGACATCTGTGTGTGTGAACATACAGATGTCATATCTGACCAATAATTTATATATTTCCTTATAGTTTTGAAAATACTTATATGTTTCTACATTGCATTTCTGGTTTGATTATTATTTATTTCATTGAATGTTGTTATAATGCTATACTGTATTTGAGTATATTATAGTGATTGACTGTTTTAACTGATCCTAACAACCTATAAATAATTAATTACATTATTACAGTACTTCACAATTCATTAACAATGATAAGTAATATGATTGATCATTCCAGTTTTTGTGATGATTTTGTTATAAAATTCAAGTTATATATCCAGTATAAAATTTATTTCTATAATCAAAGTTAATTGTCAGTATCAGTTATTGTAATTCATTTATTGAAAACAATGATCAGAATGTTTTAAGAGTAAATTTAAGATCTGAAAGTTTTTATACTTATATGATCATATAATTTTAATATTTCTGTATTAATTCTACAGTGTTAATGTGAGTAAATAAATATTTTTAAATTTATTAATTAGTATGACCTATGTTCTGTAAGTTCATCATTGACTTTCAAATAATTTTTCTTATAAACAAATACCTTTTGTATGACAAATGTAAATTTTCACACATTTTTAATTGAAAAACTAAAATGTAGTAACACCTGTTAGTTTTGTTTTACATAACATCAAAATTATTTGTAAAAATTAATTTTTATTGTGTTCTCTTTCCAATCTATAGTTTAACATTTTAAGTAATATTTTATGCATTGTAATATATTTGCCATAAAACATAAATCTTTCTGATCTTAATATGATATTTCATAATTTTTTGTTTTTAGAATTTTAGTAATGGAACCTCTGTAACATGCAATTGTATTGTTTGATTTTTGACTGAGTTTTTTTATACATTTTTTTCAATACCTTGTCTCTGAAAGTTGGGATTATTATATAATTTTTAGACGATTTAACAAATTACATAAACATTAAAATCAAGAGTTTGAGGATTTTATTATTGAGCATAGCAAAGTAAAGCTCTCTTAGCTATGACTTTGAAGTTTATGCAACAGTTAACTCCTCAGAAACAACTTAACTTATTCAAACTATTTTTTGCATACAAATAGAATCCAATCCAATCTAATAGAGGTCTAGGTCATGATATAAACAGAATTTTAAAATTCAACCTGTGACTAGAATACACAATGTCAAAGTTTACAATGTTAAGTCTATGAGTGAGCAGAGCAAGGTTTCTGACCCAAATGGACAAATCTAGTTTATTTCCTACTTCATGATATTTGATGAAACCAGTTGGTCATCCTTCATTCTATATTTATTGATTAATAATTTTAAAAAATGTATATTTGTTTAATACAGTAAAATGACACACACAGGTTTGAGTTTTAAGATTTATCATTAATTTTTTTCAGAGCTCTTAGTTTCTCTTTAACATTTTTCAGATTTACGATTTCAATTATTTTATTTAAATTGTGGTGATGTAATAATAGCAAATAGACATAACCATTTTTATAAAACTTGTATATTTTATATCTAAATCTTTGCAGTTTAAAATAATTAAACATAGCTAAGGTTACCAAAAATTATATTTTATGAGATATTAATTTTCTTTTTAATAAAATATTTTTTAAAATAGAATAAATAAGACAAATAATAACGTTGCCTTATATTTACAGGGTGACTAATAAATATTTTAAATTTGTCATATATATATGTAAACTATCTTTTCATAACACAGTAAATGTATTGTCTCCAATTTGTTTTATTGTCTTGGGATAGACAGTGGCAATTGATGCATATTATGACAAAATTTTCAAGTACTGTAGAACCTCACTTATTCAGACTATTGAAAGTAAGTCTAGTCTGAATTAGCAGGTTTTTACTTAAATATGTATCGTAAGTCAATACATATAATTATGTAAGATTGGAAGATTAATCTGATTCCATCATTTTAAATATTTTATTTTTTAAATGTATCGTAAGGTCTGAAAAGTGCACTTCATTTTAAATAGTGACATTTTATTGTACACTTTAAACAAGCAAGTACAGTGGTTTCATAAACTTCTATGATGGAAATATAATAGTAGCATCATTCTTAAATGACCATTAATAATTGAATAAGATATTATAGCTTCATAAACACCAGATAATCCAGCAAAAAATGAAGTTTAATTATATTAATGAACATTTTCAACAATTTTAAAATTGTTGAGAATGTTTGTTAATATAATTAAACTTTATTTTTTGCTGGATTTACTAGTGTTTACAAAACTATAGTAGAATCCTTCTTGTCATTGCCAACATTTACTAATCTGAGCTTGAAAAATGAGCTAATTTTTATTTGCAATTTCTTTTCTAACTGTTACTTGATCACATGTTGATGCATATGTCTGAGAGTAAGATAATGGTTGTTAAAGTCCAGATTACAATCAACAAATTCAGTACCTTAAAAAAACTACACAATGCAAAATGCTAGTTTGAATTACTAAATCCAAATTAGCAAAGTTTTACTGTATCTTATAATCATAATTTTTATTTCTGTCAATTGTGATTTGTGTAATCTGTAATAATACTACTTACATATAATAATATTTTTTATTTTTAATTTAGATACATTCTTTAATAGCTTACCACTAACATTTCATCATTATATTAGAAAAATTTTAAATATAAAATTTTGCTATTTGTAATTTTTATTAACTAAAAATTAAAAAATAAAAACATCCATAAAAATAAATAACCAGCAGAAAAAAAAAGTGATAGAACTAATGTTTTGCTTATGTTGAATGTTCATAACAGGCTAAATGACCTTTTTTCTGCTGGTTATTTGGCTTTTGTGACTATTTTTATCAAGTTTACCTAGTTGTGAGTGGTTGTTTTAAAAATACCTGTTAAATTAATTAAATAAAACTTTTTGTGTAAAATTACAGTATGCACCATACTTTTTATGATTATTTTGAAATTAAAATTCTTTTGAAGTTCCTTTTTGTAAAGTTTTTATATTCCTCTTCTTTTATGTCTTCAATTTTAAATAGATTCTCTGATGGCCATGCAGTTGAGATGGCAACTTACTGCTGGGGGAGTCAGGATTGAGTCTGAAGGGGTTGAAAAATTTCAGAATTTTTCAGGGATTGGTCTGGTCTGGATATATCAGGCTCCATTTTTCATTACCTGTCTGTCCCATTGTGGATTTGACCAAATCTATAATGGGCTTGCTAAAAAAAGTCCTCTTGGTACCAACAGAATGGAAAGAGTTAGCATATATAAAAGTTTTTTAATTTTTTTTAAAATTAAGACATTCTTATGAATTAATAATTTACCAATGTTTTTATATTATTTCCTCAAGATAGTTTTTTTTTATTAATTATAACAGAGTGAGCCAAACAATTGCCATAATAAATCAGGCTACTTTGCTGCTGTTATTATTAATAGAGCAGTAAAGTAGCTTAATTCATTATAGCAATTGTTTGGTTTATTAAAAATAATGGGCTGTGAGATGTTTATAGATATATACAAAAGAGTGTTTCAGTTAAGTGTAATGATCCTTTTATATGTACAATACAGTATTTTTTTCCATAATCTTATCTAACTGATAATATTTCTGTTATAAAAACTTGAAATAACAGTAATTTTAAAGGTTATTAAAAAATTTTGAAATGCTTATCTTTGTTGATAAACATATGATTAAATGCTGACTGTTTGAAATGTGAAATATCTTTAGAATGAGTTCATTCTAAAAACAAATATTTGGCACCAAGTTGTGACTGATCCTATTGCTGAGGAGAAGAATTATTCTGTGTTGAAATCAATTTTGTTTTTTTGAATGATGTAATTTTATTTCCCCGGCTGTTTTGTATGGAAATCATAACAAGGGAAAGTATGGGAATCATGTCAAATTTGATTCTCTGAGTCTTTGAAAATCTTCGTGTTTTGAGATCTCCTGAATCCAAAAAAGTAAAACAAAACTAACAAAAAATTCCTGCATGTGTGTGACGTCTATTTTGCTTAATATCTTAGGATAGGGTAAAAATTAAGAAATCTAATTAGGCATGGTGGCTTGCATATGAGGGGCATTAATGCTATTAAATTTTGGAAGTGGAAAACAACAAGCACAAAATGTACTACGACAGAACTATAATCACAGATAAAACAATTTACCACAACAGACCAGACTCGTTGACAAACACAATAAAATCACATACATTATAGACATATCCATTCCAAACACTCACAATATACAAAACACATGCACTGAAAAATTAGCAAGTATACAGAATTTGCCCAGGAAATAAGGCATCTGTGGAGGATAGAAAAGGTGCTTATTGTACCTGTTGTTCTCTCCTCTATAGGTAATACCACACACACTACACAAAAGCCTGGGAACATTACAATTGAATAGAAATACATACATCACACTACAGAAGACCACTATATTGAATACATGTCATATTAGGAAATTCCTGAATACAGACACTGACACACTTATTTAATTTTAGTTTTGTTTTGGTTGCTATGCCTTGACTCTGGTCTGGCATAGTACACAGCCACTGGTGTCAACTGAGTATAACCCACTAAACCCAACGTAATAATCCAGTGATACTAATTATTCCATAATTATATTTTGTGTAATAAATAATAAACACATTTAATTTTCCTTTGTTTATTATTAAGAATTAATTTATTGTATAAATTGTGCCTGATGATGATTTTTCAAAAGGATCAAAAGCACTTGTTTACAATTAAAACAAATGCTGGAAAAATTAAAGATATTTACTATGATCATGAAATTATAGAAAGTTGAAATGATTCACGTTTTAAAAAAATTTCAGTATATTTGAATAAAATCAACAGATGACCATCATATTTCACCAAATTATTTACTTTATTGCCAAATAGTTGTTTTGAAGGATACCATCTTATTTTTAGCTGTAACTTAGAATATTTATTTTTGCATGTACAGTATATTACGAAATTTATTTTGTTATTAGATAGATAAAACTACTAATAATGATCTTGTGGTCAAGGATAGTAAATCTTATCTTGATTACAAAAATTTCAGAACTAAATGTTTTGTTCATACTTGAGAAATTAGAATATCAATTTAAGTTTCTCTCATAAGTTTTTTTTTTTCTTTTACTCACAAATTTAAACTTTATAATGCAGCAAAAATATGTGAAAAAATCATAATAAATATTTTTCTTACATTACTTTCACTTTTATTTTTAGAGTCCAGATTGTGCCAAATGTCATATCAGATTTGATCTTTTGACTCGAAGGGTAAGTCAACTAACATAAGTAATAGAAATTTTAAATATGTTGAATTAATATACATTTATCTTTTAACTCAAATAATCATTGTTGATAAAATAAATTCTCGGGAAACTGTTTAAACTGTTTATTTGAAGTGGTTTGAATTATATAAGCTTGAATTGAGAGAGAAAATTTTAATGCAGATATTTGAAGGCTATAAATTAAAATTTTGGATATGTACAAAAAAAATGTTTTTTTGTTTCATTTGCTGTTTAAATACTTTCATAGTTTCTTGCATTATCTCTACAAATTAAAACAAATAAATTTTTAAGTAGCGTATTTAAAAAATATATAGGAAATAGGATTTTTTATTTATTTTGCACAGATTTTTAAGTAATAAAATAACAGGAACAAGTATTGTTTTTCGAAGTGCAAGTTAACACAAATAATCAAATTCAGAAATTTTATATATTTATTTACTTACAAATTCTCTGTGATATTTTTGGCAGTGTTCCTGTTACTTTATTGATACAATTTACCATGACATATGTAAATTTTTAATTAATGTAAACAGTTAATATTAAAAATAATAAAAAACATTTTAAAGGTATAACATACATTATTTAATCAAAATGTTTTGTAATATATATAACTTATAACTGCATATATTTATTAATCAGTATTTATAAAACATAAAGTTTATAATTCTACTTTCATATATTCTAATTTTGTACAGTTCTATCCATATAAAACTTTACAAAATTAAAAGTAATTATTTTCTGTGACATATTTTTTAAATTGTGAAGATTGTTGCATTCTTGTGGCAGTAATACCATAAAAAAATATTGTAAATATACGATGATGACATTTAATTTGGTAATTGAAATATTTCATAATTCTTAAAGTTAGGGATGCTGTTTTTAATATAAAGGCAAACAACCACTGGATTACATTGGACTACTTTTCCACAATTATATTTAATTAATTGCTAAATAATTTGTAACTAGAAGGAGGAATGATGTTATGATTTTTGTTTATACAGTATATATGTGTGTGTGTGTATATACATATATGCCATTTTTAATGTTTTAATTACGTTGTCTTTTAGTGCTGGTATAATTATTGCAATTTGTAACTCTATGACACTAAATATTTCACTAAATATGCCACTAATGGACTTAGTTTCTTTCTCATCCTGTTTACTCTACCTTAATCTACATTTTATTTCAAAGGATATTAAGTGTATAGCCAATTGAATATTTCAAAGTGAGGCTTATGATTTTCTTTTAACCACTTTAAATTCAAATGGTTTAACTGATTTTAAAGCTTTGCATTTGTCTTTTTTTTATGACTTCCTTGTGAAATATCTGTAATGTAAAATTATTCTATTAATGAGCCATGAACTGTGTTAAATATTTATTTCAAATGATAGAATCTCTACATAATAATTATTCAAGTTATAAAGATATTACTTCAGATTTAAAATTTGCAATGATGTTGAGGAAGTACATCCTAATATATCTATCAGTTTGTTAAGAGATATTATGAATTGTTAACCTAATATTTCAATTTAATTAAAAATTATTAGCTTATAATTTTAAGCAAGTTGAAACCAAATGATTTTACAGTTCTAATCATTTTTGAAGTATGATACACTAACTGCAAAATATTCGTTTTTGTGGTTAAGAAGCCAAGTTTTTGGTTAATTATACATTATTAAACTTTCAGAGTGTTTGTACTTTTAAACTTAATTTTCTTTGTAGTGTTACAGCGAATTCTGTACATATATTTTTTCTTCATTCTGTTTCTATAGTTTTTCTGTTATTCTATCTGGAATGCAGTTTTAAATGCCAAATCATGTATTTACTGAAATAACGTTCTTTAGCTTTACAACAGATCTTATCTAGAAATACATTTATCTTATGCATTTATCTGAATAAAATGTTATATTATGAATTTATCTTTACAGAAGATTATGCAACATATATTTCTGTTGTTATTAATTTTTTTCATTTAAAAATTATTAATTGTTTTAGCATCACTGTCGTCGATGCGGTCAAATCTACTGCAGTCACTGCTGCGAACAGAAAGTACCTCTTCCTCGAATGTGTTTTGTTGATCCTGTTCGTGTCTGTGATGAATGTTCTGAAATTACAACAAAAGAAAATGAGTTCTATGAGAAGCATTTAAAAGTTCTTGTTAGTGGTAAATATTAAATTAATTGAACTGATTTTATTTTGAATAAAAAATCCAATTGTTTCAATTATCAAGAGTTTTTTGATATTTAATTTCATATTGTTTAAATGTTATCTCAAGTGATAAAAATGTAATTTCTTATCATTATTAAATATTTTTGAAATTATAAAATATTGAAAAATATCTTATTATATTTCTTTAACCTTTCTTGTAGAAATGTTACTAATTTATAATTCTAATTTACCTAAATTATAGGGGCAAATTTCCTTCTAAATAAAACAGATGATATGGGAAATGTCACTACAGTTCCCTTTTTTTGTCGTTTATCATCTGATCACAGGTATATTTTAATAAAAATAATTTTTAAATTTAGCAAATTTTCATTCTTAATTTTTCTTAAAAACAAATATATTAAGGAGCTATGTAATTTTTATTTTAAATCAAACAGAAAAAAAAAACATTTAAAAATTTTTGAACACAAGATCCAAAATAGTTCAAGAAGACTACTCATATTTCTTCAATAAATGGTTTACAAAAATGTTAATTTAGAATGCTTTTTCCTTAAATTTTTTTTGATCTTGTGAAATTCTTGAATATTGGCCAATATTTCCAACATTGTTAAATGATTGATACATTTATTCATTTGTAAAACAATATGTAATAATAAAATAGGAAAAGAAAAATATATTTAATATCTTAAAAAATGTTTTTTGTAGGGTGATATTATTTGATGGAGGAAGTGCTTGGGAGCAAGATCCAATTTCTTTATCATCAATTCGATCTTCCAAACCTATGGGAGTGACAAATAGCTTTGGTATGTTATTAAGTTTTATTTAGGATTTCCTTAATTTAATCAAAGATTATGTATATTACATTTTGTTTTTATTTCATTCAAACAATTGTTCTCAAAACAGTCTGTAAATTAACTAACTCTTTCAATGGTAAGTTTAGATTTTTCCTGGCAGTGCCTAGCAGCAGGCCTTTCCAGACAAGTTAATCATTTCAAAGCTATTAAGTACAAGAAATTCTTAGGAGAGCAAGCATTTTTGAAAATAGCAAACAAAAACTTCTCTTTTGTGCCAGTAAAAGTGTCCTCTGTCCAATTCTTATCCTGTAAAAAATCATTGTAGTTGCATATTGAAATATTTTCTATTCACTAACCGAACATAAGAGATAAAATAAACTGTGGTGGTGCATAAATACAAAGCATATAATTATATATATATATATATATATATATATATGTATGTATATCTGACTGTGTGTCTAGCTATATATATAGTCAGAGAGACACTATCAATAACACTGAAGCTGTGATGCTGATATCTCAGTACCACCTATTTACTTTTTAACCAGTTTTTAAAATTAACTTTATAATTAAAGAGAATCCCTATTCATGTTTAAAGTTGTTTAAAAAAGTTGTTTTTACAGTATTAAATAGATTTGTCTTCAATCAAATTTGTTATCTAATATTTTCCAACTAAACTTCATATTCCCACTGCAAAGTTTATTTCTCAAATAACCTTTATATTATGTAAAAGTAGATTTTCTTCTGAAGCACAAATCAAACTATCCTTCACACCTAATGAAAAATTGACAATTTGCATCAATCAACACCAAAAGTAAATGTTTTAAATGCACCAAATAATTTATTGGTGTTGCTAATGGTTTTCTAATTTTATATTTAAATTATATTAAAAACACTTACCAAACTAGAAAATCCAGCATTAAAAAGTTAATTTCAGAAATACAGTTGACCCCCATAACACGGGTTCCTATAGTTCGGATTCCTATATCACGGCAAAAAAATTGCGATAGTATTTGTACAAACATGCTAAAAAAAACTCGTATAATTCAGTAAAACGTCATTGCTGACTCGTGTCACAACAGGATTGGTCGCATCTAGACCAGTAGCAATATTGTACAAACTGTTGAGTTTAAACGAGCAGCAGACCTACTAAAAACCATTTATTATTTAACGTCCATAAAAATTATATTTATATTAATGATGTCTCCAAAGTTCAGCAAAAAAAATAATTTATCAGGAAGCATGCGCGCACCATTCGATGACAAGCTCCACGATGAAAACAATCTTAAGCAATGGCGTCATCGAACAGTACACACTCGGTAAGTAATCCTACAATTTTTTGTTTAGAGCATAGTTTATATGGATTATTCCCAAAAAATTATATGTATTTTGGAAATGTTGAGTCGAAGTAGTCTAGGATTGATTAATTTTATGGAAGAAAACCTTTCAAACAGCCGTAGTCTGTAAACTGTATACATGCTGGGCTGTGATTAGCTCATGTATTCAAGGACTCTTAGAACATCAATTTCATAAAGAACGGAATGTATCTACCATGTTATAGGGGGGGTCAACTGTACATTTTACTGTTGGATTTTCTGGTTTGGTCAGTGTTTTTAATATTACATTACATCCAGTTCTTAGTTATTACAATTGAATTTATTATACCTACATATTATGTTTAGAGTATATATAAATTATATCACTAAATGTAGATAAATTAAATAACAGCCTTCTTATAGAGAATATTATAGATAGGCATACAAATCTATTGTACAGGGAATAGCAGACAACAGGTGAGAGAACATTGTTTAAGTTGTTTTATCTTTATATTTCAATATGGTAGTGTGGTATGGTATAGTTGTGATTCATTTTTGGTGTCATTCTACACTATTTTTTGTCTTCACATTCAATAATTGAAATTATAACAATACAAACCAAAAACACTTTCACATGTATATATATGAAAACAGGAACTTTTATTAAAAAACCCTGAAATTCAATGGGCATATATGCTAGTTTAGAAAGTTTACTAGGCTAATCTGTGGACCACTTGTCTGTGGACCATACCTTGAGAATCTCTGTGTTAAAATGTATTTAAATAAAAGAATATCTAAGATTTTTCCAATTTTTGGGCTACAATTTGAAAAAATTGTAACCTATAAATTTCTGTAGTAGTCTGTCCATCTGTCTCTTTCCTTAATCTTGAAAATTGAGTTAAGTAGATGAAAGATGAGACCAGATATGGAAACCTTAGGGGCAGGAGGGTCTGATTAACTATATACGAACTTCCAATGTGTACCGGAAGCCATATTATTTCAATTCAAAACTTTTTTCCCGAAAGGAGAAAGATAGATGACTGACACAACTCTGTTGTTAAAGGAGACGTATAATGTACAGGGGCAAGACACTACTAATAATTTGAGATGGAGAGCATATAATTTAAATTAAATAAATTAAAGATATGATTAAAAATTGCAGCCTGGTGTTGTGATGATGTTGCAATTAATAATTGCTCATTTTAACATAGTTCTTTAATATTATTTTGTATTTAAATGTAATTTGCTGTTTGAAAAGAAATCACAATAAGTCAAATAAGTTAAAATTAGTGATGTAACGAATATTCGGTTACTATTCGGTATTCGGCCTATTTTTCACTATTCGGCCGAATACCGAATATTTAATCACTATTCGGCCGAATACCGAATATTTAATCACTATTCGGCCGAATACCGAATACTAAAAAACAGGAGTAATAATAACAAAAACGCAGTAAATTAATCGTTTTGGTATTTAGATTTAATGTTATCGAGTTAGTGTTGTTTGTTTATATTTATTTATAACTTGTAACATGCACAAAATAAAAAAGAAAATAATATTAGTCACATGTATTCACAATTTATAATTACAAAGGTCAGCACACGTACATGTCTATCGTTGGAGAATCCTCGCACATCTGAGGATCTGACCCTGCCTATCCTCCTTTTTAAGCGCTCATCTTTGCTCTTCCCTTTCTCTTTCCTCTATCGCTCTAATCCATGTATGCCTGTGCATACATCATAATACGCGCTCACGATACTTTCGATTCGTCACTTTTCCGTCCTAGAGTTCCCATTTTACAATTACGTGACTCAGTCTGGTGATAACGGAGAAAAAAGACAGGACGTCGATATAAGTCACAGTTATGATTTCACAGATTTGAGACAGCTTGGTAGCCCGAACTGCCCCAGGCTTTCGCCCGTGCACGCTAAGTGACTTACATTACAAGCATTTAGCTTTCCGAAGACTATGACAACAATTGTTTGGCATTGACTGCCGCGAATTTCGTGCCAATAAGCTGCCTCGACTTGTTCGATTATGTTATCAACTCAATTTCATATTTATTTTCACATTTTTACTTCGCGGTCCTTCTCTGTTCTTTTTCCGTTATTTACATGTGTAAGTCATTTCATTGTTATCCACATTTGATATCATCATTTATTGCATACTTCCATGACACTCTTGTCTGTCCGCTACAACTGCCAAGAATTAACGCGATTGGCGAAGCGTAGTGACAGCGGGCCAATAGAGAGCAGGATCCTTGCCATAATGNTTCACCGGATGAAAATTTATTTTAATCACAAAAGACACAGTCTGTCCAAAAATTATTTTTTGAAACCACCATTTATTCTACATGGCGAAATTCTACAAACAAAACTTTTTTAGAAGTAATTCGTCACCAGAGGGATAAGGCCAAAATTTACATTTAACAGCGCATTTATCAAGTGAATATAAGGACTGAAATTCCCTAACTGGAAAGGATGCAAGTTCAAGACATCTGTAAGGCCGCCAGTTCCAATTTTTTACTTTTAATGTTTTAATTAGATATTTTTGTGTGTTTTTTAAAGAATGTTTTAGCCTGACGACCTAGTAGCCTACAAAGAAAGGTCAGGTTGGTCGATGGTGTTCTGGAACACATGATCAAAATAAATGGTGGTTTCAAAAAATAATTTTTGGACAGACTGTGTCTTTTGTGATTAAAATAACTGATTGCTTTAATTTTTCAACACATTTATACCAGTACAATCAAAAGGTTCAAAGTCTAAGCAGATTGTGAACAAATACATTTATTAAGAAAATTATTATGCACATCCATTTTTGACTTAATGTCCCTCGGCCGCAAGGCACTGTTGCCAATGTCAATATAACTGCTGTATATGCTCTTGAAAAGCATTTTCTGGAATTACACATTACATCTGCTGCGATGTAGTGATGACCTTTATGGATAATCAGAACTGTTGTCCATAACATTGTTTCATACAGCCAAAAAGGAAATAATTGCACAATGCCATGTCAGATGAGTATGAAGGATGTGACAAGACTTCTGTGTATGTGTTTTGCCAGCTTAGTTTGCACCAGAAGAGAGTGATATATGGGAGCATTGTCATGCAGGAAAAACCAATTGTTGTTATGCCACAGCTCAAGTTGCTTGAAGAAATTCTGCTTCATCTATATCAGTGTTTGCCAAACTTTTTTACCTCACGGCACACCAAATAAAAAACCCGACAAAATTAAATATACTTTATTAGTATGAATAAGAATAAATAAATTCTTAGTATAGTAAAAATAAAATAACATTGTTTTATCTATTTATAAAATATGTAGATAGGTAATATAAATAATAATTTTATTAGTGAGAAGGATGCAATTGATTTTGAGAAAGAATTATGTCAAAACAAAGCTCTAAATTAGATATACACATAACTCCTCATCTACCATCTGTAATCTTTCCCTTTTTTTTTTCTTTTCATTTCATTTCCATAAGTGTCGAGAAACCTAATTCACAAAGATACTATGATCTAAAAGACAATGGAGATTTAATGGCTGTAGTAGCTAATCAAGGATATTGGCTCCAATTCAAAATTCTGACAATTCTAGTACAGCCTTTTTTTCTCACTATGCATAGATGGAGCACCATCAGTCAAATGCTAATACAAGTTTGCCACTGCATGTGACTTTTCCCTCTCAATGTGTCTTTTGGTGTACCAGGTTAAAGACATTTTCTCCTCTCATTCTTTCCTTCAATTCACAACAAAAGAAAAACTGACTTATGATTTTACCAGCTCTAATTATTTGCAGAAATGTAATTAGTTGAGCTTTGTTGCTGATGTCTGTACTTTCATCGATTTGTAAGGCCCACAAGTTATTGAGTTCATCTTTTGCTTCAGTGAAATGCTCACAAAGCTGATCATCAATGTCTTACGAAATGTATTGAATTTTACGAGAAATTGTAAGGGCTGATAAAGGAATGGTCTTAGTTTGTTTGATGGCTTCATCACTAATCATTGTGCCAACGGCAATCTCCAAGGCTGGTAAAATAATGTTTTTGGCATCAGAATGTGTTTTTTTTTTTTAATTAAATTAATGCATTTCAAAATATACTGTAGTATTAAAATTTAATACTAATTAATTATTTAATAATTAAAAATGCTGAAAATCATCATTAATTAATGAAAATGGTTTTTCAACATCAAGACTTAAAATATAATTTAGATTTTGAAAACTTTATTTTTACTCTTAGATGGTCCATGGTGTCTTTGCACATTTTTACTTATACAGGTATACCTCGCCTTACGTCGGTAATTGGTTCCAGGAAAACGACTTAAGTCAAAAAACGACGTAAGTCGAATTTACTTGTCTCCAAATCTACTTGTCACTAGGCTAAACCGTAAATTACCATTCCCGGTTCTGTATTTTATTTATTAATGCATTTTTAATAATATATGGTTAGTATGCATCTATTTTAAGCTTACAAACAAATAAATTTTAGTTTTTAATATAGTACAGAAAAAGTAATCTAAATTTACGAATGCATGTACAGTACTGTAAATACAGTACATACTTGTAAATGTATATATTTTAATATGATTTTATGTTCTTTAAACATTTTTCTAGTGATATTACGACTTCAATATTTATGGCGGACAGACGTAAAGTCGAATAAAATGACTTAAACTTGATTTTTATTTTTCCATATACTTTTTTGACAAACGACGTAACTCGAAACGACGTAAGTCGAGGTATACCTGTATTTTTAAATCATGTGCTGTGAGAGATTTCAGGTGCACTGCAAAAGATTAAAAATTTGGCAGACACTGATCTACATGAATCAATTTGTCAAATGTAGAGAGCTGAAGAATAAAATACAACAAATAATAACAAAACCAGTTGTTTTATATTGTTGTTTTTATTCAAAAATATATATTTGTTAATGAAAATCTGTGTAATTCATAAAAATGAATTATTACTTAAATTCTGTTCTGTATAGGTGCCACAGATATTTCTGGAATAGTTATTTCATATAATACCGAGGATGAAGAGAAATCATTAACGCTTTCAGTTGCTCCTGTTCCCAACCATAAGCAATCGATTGCATGGATTTCTGCTTTGCAGAAGGTAATTTTTACTTTCATTGTTAATTTTATTATGAAATTTGTAAAATTATTTCAAAAAATTATTATTATAATGTTTTAAATTAATTTCAGGCTTTAAAATTAATTGTTGACATCAAGGAATCATAAGTCTTCCAAAATAAAAATCGAATATCATTACCATTTATGGTAAACTCTCCTCCTAATCATCTGCCATAATATCAATTACTGAACAAGTAATAATGCTGTATTATATTTATTTGTAAATACATTATATACACATAACACAAGTTAAATATATGTCATATGGGACAATCGTATCGAGACAGTCAATCAAAAAATATGAAATTTGTTATTGTATTGGAAATGATATATATTTTTGTGAATGGGACATTATAAAGGAAAAACCAATTGTTGTTATGCCACAGCTCAAGTTG